TCTGACTGACTTATTTCACTTAGTGTAATACCCTCCAGTTCCATTCATGTCATTGTAAATGGTAAGATTTCATCCTTTTTGATAGCTGAGTAATATTCATGTGTGTGTGTCTGTGTGTGTACATACACACAACTTCTTCTTTATCCATTCATCTATCAATGGACATCTGGGCTCTTTCCATACTTTGGCAGTTGTGGACATTGCTGCCATAAATATCAGGGTGCATGTGCCCCTTCAAATCACTGTTTGTATCCTTTGGATAAATACCCGGTAGTGCAATTGCTGGGTCATAAGGTAGCTCTATTTTTAACTTTTTGAGGAACCTCCATACTGTTTTCCAGAGTGGCTGCACCAGTTTGCATTCCCACTAACACTGTAAGAATGTTCCCCTTTCTCTATATCCTCTCCAACACTTGTTGTTTTCCTCAGAAAACAACATTTGTTGTTTACCTCAGTTTCCTATTTTAGTCATTCTCATGGGTGCAAGGTGGTATCTCATTGTGGTTTTGATGTCTTCTTTGGAGAAATGTTTGTTCATGTCTTCTGCCCATTTCTTGACTGGATTTTTTGGGTGTTGAGTTTGTTAAGTTCTTTATAGATTTTGGATACTAGCCCTTTATCTGACAAAACATATGCAAATATGTTCTCCCATTCAGTAGGTTGCCTTTTAGTTTCGTTAACTGTTTCCTTTGCTGTGCAAAAGCTTTTTATCTCAATGAAGGCCCAATAGTTCATTTTTGCCTTTGTTTCCCTTGCCTTTGGAGGTGTGTCTAGCAAGAAGTTGCTGTGGCCGATGTCAAAAAGGTGGCTGCATGTGTTCTCCTCTAGGATTTTGATGGATTCCTTTCTCACGTCGAGGGCTTTCATCCATTTTGAGTATATCTTTGTGTGTGGTGTAAGAAAATGGTCCAGTTTCCTTCTTCTGCATTTTTAAAAATATACTGTCATTATTAAAAAACAATGACATTACAGTTTTAAAAAAATTTTACACATTTCACTTAGAATCACACTTTAAAGACTTTCATGGTTGCCTACTATTTTTTCTCTAGAACATCTAGAGTTGTTGTAAGAAGAATATGATGGACTTGGTTAAGACAGCCTGTTCTTTCATGGTTGCTGGCAAACATTAGCTCACCACCAAGGTTTAAAATATCAGTTGCTGCAAGTACTGATTTTCATTGGTCTTTCACAGTCTGTGTTCACAATTAGTAGGAACATGAGTCGTACTCCCCAATGCTGCCATCTATGGTTTCTGAGCAAGTTACAGGTAAAAGTGCTTGGAGATGTATTCCTCTAATGGGAGACAGCTGCAAGTTGTCCTTGACTAAAGGCTCAGAGTAGATAAAGTAACCCTGGGTACAAAGTTCTTTGTTGGAAAGCTCTGAGAAGAATTGTGTGATTGTGTTCCACTCTCAGAACCAGGGCTTTGATTAGCCATGACAGGGATAAAGACGTGTCATCTCCAAATTAAACTAGCAAAAATCTATGCATGATGAAAAGACTGGCTGTCTGTAGGGGCAACCTAAAAATTGTATAGGTGAGACTGAAGGGTTTGGAGAATATCCAAATGCTATAATTGAGGTAACTTAAGTACTACCTCAAGGGAGCGGGGCTAGAATAAAATTATAAAGAGAAATAGAACAAATCAATTGGCCTTGCTAAACAACACCACTTCCTAAACATACTGTGAAGAATATGTCAACAAAAAGGAGGATGCTCAGTGGGGGGTCATTATTATGGCACAGTTAGCACAATTACCCAGTACTGTTTTGTGTGTGTGTTTGGAGGCAGTGGGTAGAGACTGAATCTGATGGATAGGAAAGTTCCAGTCAGTCACTAGAGATGGGGATTTGGTTATGGGGTAGGATTGTTATTTGAGTAGGGTTTCACCGTGGCAGGATGACATAACCCTCAGGATCTCTCTCTGCTCTTATCTGATTTTGTGCCCATCAGTGAGCATTCTGGTTAGTAATCTGGTTCCTGATAGCCTGATAATGTGAAAGAGTCTGACCTAGGAAAGACCCTCACTGTAGACGAGTAAACTTGCATGCCTGATTATGCACTGGGCTTTTGGAAATCCCTTGGTGTGAGTTAGCATCAGTGGATCCAAACAATTCTGTCTGGCCTGACTAAACACACTCAGACTTCTAAAGCTGAAAGGCAGGGAGCAGCCAGCCTCCCAGGGAGGCCTCACAGCTCATCACATCAGTAATGGCCCAGTCCAATCAGGCCCAATTAAATTCACCAGGAGAGGAAATACTCAAGATAAAGTCAAAGGCTGGTATCAGAGAAGTCTGGCTGTAAGCCATGGTCCCAATAGTTAGACGCTGTGAGGAACTCTAAGAAGGGTAGGACAGAAACCTAGTGAGTGGAACGGCTACAGAAGCACAGGATTTGTTACAAAGGGATAAGGTCAGAACTTGCAAGATGGCTGACTTAACTGTGGGATATCCAGGTTAGGTTTTTGAATACTGACTTTCTCTGCTCAGGAGTCAAATTGACCCTTGAATCTGGAAAATGTGTGGAACTACAGAAATGGATTAAGGCTTTATAGGTCTGTTTTTGTTTCTAGGGATGAGGAGGGGAAAAATGCTTAAGCACAAAAGAGTTAATTGACTCACTTAGAAAAATTGGGGGCAAATATTGGCCTCAACACAGCCTAATGCATAGGGCACAAATGATGCCACCAGGACCTATTGTCTCTCAACATGTCTCTCAGATGCATATTGCCTTGTATCTCATACAGAGTCTCTCCTACTGAGGTCACAATCTGGCAGTAGTTACTCTTGGTCTTTCATGCTCAACACTTTGGATTGAGTAGAAGAGAGAATTTCTTTCACAGAGCCCTTTAATGACTCTTTAACTGTAATTGGGTAACTTCCCATTCTTGAACGTATCATTTGGACAAATGAAATGTGATTCTCTGCTTGGTCAATGTCTGAGTTATTTGATGACTCCTGAAGCCAAAGGTGCAAATGCCCCCGTTAGATAGAAGTATCCTGGCTGAATGGATAAAGAAGATGTGGTATACACACACACGCGCACACACACACACACACACACACACACACACACAGTGGAATACTATGCAGCCATCAAAAATGAAATCTTGCTGTTTGCACTGATGTGGATGGAACTAGAGGGTATTATGCTTAGCGAAATAAGTCAGTCAGAGAAAGACAATTATCATATGATCTCACTGATAGGAGGAATTTGAGAAACAAGACAGAGGATCATAGGGGAAGGGAGGGAAAAATGAAACAAGATGAAACCAGAGAGGGAGACAAACCATGAGAGACTCTTAATCTCAGGAAACAAACTGAGGGTTGCTGGGGTTGTGGCACGGAGGGATAGGGTGGCTGGGTTATGGACATTGGGGAGGGTATGTGCTATGGTGAGTGCTGTGAATTGTGTAGGACTGATGAATCACAGACCTGTACCCCTGAAGCAATTAATACATTATGTGTTAATTAAAAAAAAAAAAAGTATCATGGCACCTTGGCCATAGAAGTAGGAATTGGCTAACAGGTGTGTAACAACTCACCTGCCCAATCAGCTAGTCCAGAAAATGGATAACATTGGAGGTTCAGACCCATACTCAGCCATTGCTAGCAGCAATATGAACAAGAGACGTGGGAGCAAATGGGCCCCCCACCTCCGTGCCCCCCTTTCTGTCACATTATGTTCCTGATGACAGCTATCACAATAGATTTACGTTTTCTTCATTGGTTACTCAGTTTCTCAGATGTTTATTGAACACCTGCCCCAAACCCAGAATTGTGGGTGGTATTGGAGTAATTCACAGCTGGAAAGATATAAGCACTTTTCACATGAATGGTTACAGAAAAATAACTGCCTTTTATTTCTAATATAATAATAGGAAGTCAAACATAGTGTGCAGTGTGCTTCCTTTGCCTAATAGGCTAAAGGATGGGGTTGATGGTCAGAATAGTTGATGGCAGTGAAGACAAATTCTTTAAAAAATATATATATATTTATTTAATTATCAGAGAGAGAGCACAAGCAGAAGTAGTGGCAGGCAGAGGGAGAAGCAGGCTCCCCACTGAACAAGGAGCCTGACACAGGACTCAATTCCGGGACCCTGAGATCATGACCTGAGCTGAAGGCAGACACTCAACCCACTGAGCCACCCAGGCATCCCTAACCATTCATTTTTAAGGAAATAATTTATATTTTTAACTATTCCCTAATCAGGTGATTAAAGGTTGATGGCACTATTTTATATATAAGGATATTGATGGCCAATCACAAAGTAAATCAAAAAGAGAATTATTTTAGGAGTCAGCATTTCTTTAGTTTTTAGTCTTATGTTCATTGACTTTTTTTCTTCTGAATCTCACTGGCTGAGTTTTTAAGATACAGTCAGAAGGCACCATGTTCAACATTCCTTAGGTTGTTAAATATAAATCTGAGGAGTTACTTTTGTCATCAATGATTCCTGATCACCTTAAGGATCAATTCCAAATTCCTTGTCATGGAATGCCAGATCTTTCTAAATCATGCCCCTTTCACTTCTCCTGTCCCTGTGCTCACTTCCCTACCCCAGCCTTCCCACAGGTACCCCACTCCCACTATGCAAAACTATTCACGGTTCCAGTGGTGCCTGCTCTCCGTCACCTCTTCTGTCCACCCCTTTCCTTGCCATCACGGAGCCATCTCCTCTTCATCCACCATTTCCAGCTAAGACATCACTCCCTCCAGAAAGCTTTTTGACATCCTCCAGGACTGGGTTCTGTATTTCTCCTTTGTTCCCTCAGCATCCTTCACTTGACTGTCCGTGCCCTCATCAGCCTATTTACTGCCTGTTTGCCTCCAAGTCTCCCCAGCAAGGGCAAGAATCCCCAGAGGCCCCTATATAATGAAAACAGGGTGGGGCCCGTGTTTTCACAGCTGCATTTTGGAGATTAGCTCAATATATATTTTTTGGATGAATAAATAATGAACGACTTATTATTTGTTGCTTTCTTATGTTTCCTCAGAATTACAACCGGCCCCCTGTGATGGCATTAGCCATCCCCATCGCAGTGAAATTCCTCCACAGAAGCAACAAGGAACTGTGCAGGAATATGTCCAACTACCTGTCCCTGGCTGCGATCACCAAGGCAGATCTCCTGGCTAATCACACAGACGTTATAGTTAAGAGCATACTCCAAGGTATGATACAATGGCTGAGCTTGGGGATGTTTTTTAGGAGTGGTTTTAAAGTATTTTCATGAACCATTTTAATGATTTGTGGAAAGGGAGCCCTAGAATATTAAGAGGTATGTTCGATTCTCTGCTTTGCCACTAGTTGGCTGGTGAACAGGGGTGAGGTTTCTTGGGCTAGGGAAATGAATTATTTGAACTCATAGAGCTGTAAGCTCTCTCTCTTCCAACTCTGCATCTGTCAGTTTGGAGAATGGTTTTTGCCATGCTTCTGGTCACCTTGTCCAGCTACCAATTGTGGAGAACCTACCTGTCTGCACTGCGTGGAATGTGTCCCATTATTCTCAGTGGGAGGTGGAAAACCACTTCTGCCTTTGGTTTCCAAAAGCAAGGAATGTTAGATAAAACACAGAAGAGAACATGTGAAGACTTCTTAAACGTGAACAAGATTTGGGAATAATTTGTAATTGTGTTAGTTAAATTCTACTGTAAAAAATTCAAAAACCAGGACATCTCTGTTAATTGTTTCACATTTGCATGAAACAGAGCAAGTTAGTCCAATCAAAATATTCTCTTTGTCTTACTGTTTTTTCCCCCCTTTGGCTTCAGATCTATCAGAAACCATGTTTTTTTTTCTTTTAATATTTTTTTATTTGGGGTCAGAGAACAGTATATGGTATTATGTGATATATGCCCAATGTCTCTAGTTCTCATTAACAAAAATGTATGAGGTCCATGAGTATCCTGGCCCACATTTTACTGCCACATACCCTAGGTGCTCAAGTTGAATGTCAACTCTCCCAGACCAAGTATTTCTTAGAGTCTCCGAGGGTGTCCCACAAATGCTCCCTTTCTGGCTATCCAGACTAGTCTACAAACCCATGCTGTTATCGTCTCCATGCTTCCTGGCACAGCTTATGGTGGTGTCCACTTCCACAACCCAAAGCCCAGCAAACTCTACGGTTGCTACCCCTGAAGCTTCAGGATCCACCAGTCCTCAATAGACTAATTTCATGTGGCAGCCTGAGGCAGGATGGGGAAAGGGGAGGGGACATCTGTCTTTTTCCTTGGTGTTACACTTTGGTAACTTTGGGGTTGCTTAGCTCTCAATACCAACTTGTTCCCAAGTTTGCAGTAAAATGTATCCTTCTGTTCTAAAATGTTCTCTCTCTTTCATGGGCTCACCTATCCAGATAAGAGTCAGGCTAGCAACAAATCAGTCACCCAGTTCTCAAAATGACTATGGCCCACCAAGGACTAAGGTTTTTTTCATTGTATCAGACATTCCCACATAAGAGTTCTTAGCACTGGCCTCTCCAGAACATCTGACCAGCCCCCCACACTGTGGTCTACTGGATGCTTAGATATGTCTGAACCCCAGCCATGACAATGGAAATTCATCACTCTACCTGTGTTCCCCTCTAAAGATCTGTCATTGATATTACTAGTCAGTATGATTCATTTCCCATTTTCTTTGGCTACAGGATTGAAATGCTAATTTAATTTTTAATCATGATACTAAATTTTCTAAAAGTCCAGAAAAGCAGTTACACTTTTTTCACCATCTTGGCTACGTATTTGGAACAGATTTTACATGATATTACAAACACGTATATACACCACACATTTTAAAACCTTGATAGTTAGACTTGTAACTAACAGATTTATTGGGAAAAAAAAACACAAAAATGAATTGTTTCTTTGCAGCTGCCAACAACTTACTCATGTATTTGTTTCTTTTTTCTTTTTTTGAAATGCACTTTCAATGACCAAGAAATCTTTGAAACACAAAATGCACTTTCTGAATTCACTGCAAGCATTTGAAATAAACAGATGATTTGGTTTATTTGATCTGGCACTATAAAAATTATCCTAAAAGAAATGATAATTTGATTAAAAGAAGTTGTGACTACATATTTTAGGGCTTAGATTTTTAAGACTAATGTGTCTGTAAAACTCTGCAATTGTTCACATGAGGCCATCAAACTTAGACCGGCAAAGTAGAGGGGATCTTACTCTCTCTCAGTAAATTTTCTGCTCTGCAAATCTGTCATATATTCCCTGAAATTAGCTTTAGAAGCCATCATTAGGATTTTTTTTTTTTTACCTATAGTTTTCTCCCCTTTAGGTCTTCCTCCTTAACTTATATTACTTTAATCTGCATTCTCCCATTTTTCTATTTCTATAGAAAATGCTAAAGTGTTGAAATTTCTTGATTTGATCTATTTTTTTTAAGATTTTATTTATTTATTTGATAGAGATCACAAGCAGGCAGAGAGGGAGGAGGAAGCAGGCCTCCTGCCAAGCAGAGAGCCCGATGCGGGGCTCTATCCCAGAACCCTGGGATCATGACCTGAGCTGAAGGAGGAGGCTTTAACCCACCGAGCCACCCAGGTGCCCCTGATCTATTTTTTCTTTACAAGACTAGAATTCAAAAATTATAGAATCTTATGTTGGGACGTTAAACATGGTTTAACTGAAGTACCCAAGCAATACTTAAATCCCCACCAAATGGTCATCTTCTCAGTGATAACAATAATTATAATAACAATTATAACTACAATGGCTAAAATTTATTTCATGCTTTTATTATGTCAAATACTGTATTAAGCACTTTATATGGATTATAGGATTATATCATTTAATCCCCAGAAGAATTGCCCAACAAAAGTCCTATTATTATCCCATGTTACCAATTAATAGTATTTTAAGTAATAGAAACCCCAGGTAAAAATAACTTGATGATGATGACAATGATGGTGATAATGAAGATGAGGAAGAAAAGAAAAAAGGGGGGGTAGAGGGGAAGAAGAAAAGGAATGAAGGGGAAAGAGGAGGGGAAGGAAGAACTTCTTATCAAAATACAAGACTGGTAAGTGCATAAGTGTATCAGACTTTCCACATGGCTTGGTTCAGGGCTCAATGGCAGTCCCAAAAGTCATTACTCAGCTCTGCTTCCTTTGGATTGGATTTTCATGCTCTATGTTATGGCCCTCTGCAGCTTCCAACTCACATCATCATGAATACCAATTAAGCAAAAGAAACTCCATATTCAGTCTCATCTCTGTTTGACCTGACATGTGTCACATGCCCATTTCTGAGCCAATCCATCATTATTGTCAGGGAATACAGTATTTCAGGTGACCAGGCTTGGGTAATGAACCACCGTCAAAGCAGGAAATGGGGGGCAACTGCAGTACCACATGAATGGGGTGCAGATCACCCCGGACCAAATCCAGGGCTGTTGCCAGCAATGGCTAAAATGAATGCTGGGTACCAACAAACAGCTTTATGTATTTACTTTTCTCCTTTTATACTTTCTTTGTTAGAGAGTCAACCCACTACTTTGGCATAACGAGACATTACTGGATAATGATTCTTCCAACTCAGTGTATCTGCAGTTCTTCCCAGTTCTTCTTGGCATCCGTAAATTTTATGAATAGAACCACTATATGAATAGAACCACTCTCCCTTCATTTTAAAACACTAATGAAAAAGTAGATCAGATGGGGCCAGGCAAGACTTGTGGTATGCCAGTGGTGACTGTTCCCTATGCTTGGTTGATATTACTCCTCTGGTTTTATTTTTCATTTGTTTTATACCAGTCTATCTCTGATTCAAAATGAAATGCCTCCTTTATGCTTGTAAGTCAATCATGGGGGGCTGTCAAATGAGCTTATATATCTCTCCTTGAAGGCAAATATTTCAATAATTCCAAGCCGATTTTTACTACTTTTCATTATTAGTAATTATATATGTGATAATATTGACTTTTACATTAAATGTAAATAGAAATTGATTTTATTTAAACTGCTTAGACTCCATTTGTCTGTTTTATATTCTCCAATTCTCCCAGTGAGAAAGAAACTGTGAAAGGTCCTTCCATTTGGAGAAAAGATCAAAGGCATGAGCAATATTGCCTTGGTGCATACTTGAGAGCTAAGGGGTTAGAAAACCTGAATATGCCTATAACAAGTAAGACAATTATATCAGCATTTTTAAATCATCCCCAATTTTATAGATTAGAACAAACATGTAAATAATAATTACAGGCTTGACTAAACTTTTTCAGATAATTAAAAAACATTCTCCAACTAATTCTGTGAGGCTAGTATACATGTGATATCAAAACAAGAACAAAACTACATAAGAAAAGAAAATCAGGCCCATCTTAATTATGAACGTAGATGCATAAATCACAAATCAAAATGACTCCAGCAATGCTCAAGGAAGATAAGAGTTTACATTTCTGAGTGCTTTCTGTGTACCATTTTCTGGTCTTTTAAGTCAGGTAATTCTCCCAATAACTTATGAGGGAAGAACTATTGTTATCCTCATTTTATAAAATTCATAATGATTCAGTTGCGTTTATCCTAGGAATGCCAGCATGTCTTAATATTCAAAATGTAATTCCCCCCAGTAACAGACTAACAGGTCAAAAAGTCATCTGATCAGTAGGAGCAGCCCATAAATTCAGTACCCATGCATGGAAAAAACGTTTTGTGATGGGGCGCCTGGGCGGTGCAGTCAGTTAAGCATCTGCCTTTGGCTCAGGTCATGATCCTGGGGCCCTGGGATCAAGCCCACCTGGGGCTTCCTACTCAGTGGGGAGTTCTGCTTCTTCTTCTCTCTCTGCCCCTCTCCCTGTTTATGTGCACATGTTCTGTCTCTCTCTCAAATAAATAAAATCTTTAAAAAGAAAAGAGCTTTTTGAAAACTAGGAATTTTGAAGAACTTCCAGAAACTGATTAAGGGGATATTATGTATGTAAATATGTATGTCTATAATAGTATATATAAGTAAGAGAATTATACACACACACACACACACTTATATACCTATATGCATAGGTATATCCACTTCTTTTGTAAAATTCAAAGTCTGTTCATGACAAAAAAAAGAAATGTCTCCACAAACTAGCAATAGAAGAGGAGCATGCTTAATCTAATAAAGTATAATCTACAAAAACCTACAACTAGAATCGTACTTAATGGGAAATATTAAATTCT